CAGGCTGGTTCCTTTAGTCTGAATGTGTGTTTGGTGGCGTGATCATTATTATTTAGAGTCATTGCGTGCCTATTGATTTGAACACGATCCGTGTATCCATCATTTCCTGGTCTTCTCTAAAGAAGAGGGACCAATGAAAACGTTGTCATGTTGCCGTTGTTCAGCATGGAAACATTCATTAGCTAACAATGACATTATTGTTCTATTAATATAAAGGGAGGTCAGGTACTCTTTAAAACAGCTGCTAGTTATGGGTACTTTTTACTGAAGTACATTTCAAAGCCTCTTTACTTTGACTTGAGTAAAGAAGTTTAGTCAGTACTTCTACTTTCACCAGAGTATCTTTAAACACGAGTATCTGTACTTCTACTTGAGGAAAGGATGTGTGTACTTTAACATCTCTGGTCACCTTACTTCTCTCTGCTTGAAAGAAGACGCCTTTGCCTTCATGTTTTGAACCCCTGAGTGGTTCTGTGCAGGATGGTAACGGCTCATATCGCTGAGATCTACTTCAGAGCGTGGAAGAAAGCCAGCGGTGATTTCCTGGAGACGATCGAGAGCTCCTGCGTTCAGGATTTAATGCAGAACGCCATCTTCCTCCACAGATCCTCTCCTGTGTACGCCAAAGTCCGAAAGGTAGCTGCTTTAAAGTCAATCCTTCTGTTTGTGTGTACGGAGAGATCGAAATACCGTTTCCCACAATACAAAAATATATAAAATAGTTATACAGTTTATGTGGCATGGCATTAAATGTTTCCCACGGCATTCTCACAGAATAAAATGTGTATTCTCTGCAGATCGTGAGCTACTTCCACTCGAGGAAAGGCTGTGAGAAAGTGGACAAGATGCTCTCCAATCTCTACAAGCCCATTCTGTGGAAAGCTCTAAGTGTACGCGTCAACGTTTCTTTACCTTTCTTTTCTTTTTGTTTTCAAGACTCATTTCTGTTTGATTTCTTCAGGCGCCAAACTTCGAGGTGCGAGCGAACGCCACGCTGCTTTTCACCGAAGCTTTCCCGGTGCTTGACATGGAAAACGGCAACAAGAGCACGGACGAGGCCATTCAGAAGCAGCTGGACACGGTCATGGTGAGAGCCTTAAAAACGCTTTATTTGAGAGGAAACTGGGTTTTTGCAGTAAAACCACAGAAAACAGAGTTAAAAAGGAGAATTAGACTTTCTGTGTTTTTTAGGCATGCACTCATCGACATTTATTAAAAGTACCAAAATATGGGATTTAATTACATTTTATATTTTTTTATTTAATTATTATTTAATCCTTAAATGTGGGGTAGGTCATTTTGGAGAAACCAGCTCGAGTGCGCTAGAATTTGAAAATACACAGCCGGAACAAATCTGCCACTTCCTCACAGAGCCTCTCCTCCAACACACACGAACGCGCACATGACCAATGAGGGCACGAGATGAGTTTGTGCACAGATGGAAGGCTGACAGGCAGGTAGGCCATCCAGTTACTTTAGCCGGGCCGGCTCAGATGATTGGTCGTGCTTTTTACAGCACCACTGCTTCCGGAGATTATATATTTTATGAATTCTTTGTCAAAGCACTTCAGATATTCATTGCTATCGGGATGTTAAGAGCATTCCATGGAATATAACAACAAGTGCATCTCGAGCCGGTTTCTCAAACTTACCTACCCCACCTTTAATATATTGATTTATTTGTTTTGTTTTAGTTTTGTGAAGCACCTTTTTTGTATGAAGGGTGCTATATAAATAAGGTTAGAGATATAAATATGTAATTTATGATGGTTTTTATACTTCTGGGCAACTTCATTTATTGTTATATATATATATAATGTATCATTTTGTTTTTTATCAATAACCTTAAAAAGCAGGCATTGGCATGTTGTTGCAGATTATCACGTGTCATAATAATCCCTCTTCTTGTAGAATCTGTATTTGCATTGTTGAATGAATGTGTGAACGAGGCGATCACGTTAAGCTGTCGTTATCAGGCTGTCATTTGTTATATATTGTTGGAGCGGTAAGCAGGCAGAGCTAGGTGGTCCGTGAGTGTTTTGTTTACGGTGGTTCTTGGTATGTCGAGGCTATAAAGACAAAGCCTTTTTCATGCCTTTGCAGAGCTGCACAAAAACCGACAAGGAAACCCCGAAACAACACAATAAATCCTCTTTAGTTCAAACTATCCTCGATTCAAACCCTCCTCTCTCCTCCTCAGGTGCTCCTGGATGATCCTCACCCCACAGTCCGCTCTAACGCCATCTTAGGAGTGTGTAAGATCCTGGCTAAATACTGGGAGCTGCTTCCTGCCGCCATCATCACCGACTTCCTGAAGAAGCTTGTGATGGAGCTGGCGTTCGATTCGAGTTCTCCTGACGTCCGCTGCTCCGTCTTCAAGGTAGGAAATAATCAAAGTAAATATTAGACAGATATACTTTTGAGTTGTTTTAATGACTCTTGTTTCCCCCAGTGTCTCATCATCGTGCTGGACAACAGCCTCAGCCACCCCATCCTGGAGAAGCTGCTCCAGACTCTGAAATACAGTTTGCACGACAACTCGGAGAAAGTCCGCATCGCTTTCCTCGACATGCTCATTAAAGTGAAGGCTGTGCGAGCTGCTAAGGTACCGCCTCCTCTCGTAGCTCTGGTCCGTGTGCAGCATGGATCATCTTCTCTGTCTCCTCTCGTAGCTCTGGTCCGTGTGCAGCATGGATCATCTTCTCTGTCTCCTCTCGTAGCTCTGGTCCGTGTGCAGCATGGATCATCTTCTCTGTCTCCTCTCTTAGTTCTGGTCCGTGTGCAGCATGGATCATTTTCTCTGTCTCCTCTCGTAGCTCTGGTCCGTGTGCAGCATGGATCATCTTCTCTGTCTCCTCTCGTAGCTCTGGTCCGTGTGCAGCATGTATCATCTTCTCTGTCTCCTCTCGTAGCTCTGGTCCGTGTGCAGCATGGATCATCTTCTCTGTCTCCTCTCTTAGCTCTGGTCCGTGTGCAGCATGGATCATCTTCTCTGTCTCCTCTCGTAGCTCTGGTCCGTGTGCAGCATGGATCATCTTCTCTGTCTCCTCTCGTAGCTCTGGTCCGTGTGCAGCATGGATCATCTTCTCTGTCTCCTCTCGTAGCTCTGGTCCGTGTGCAGCATGGATCATCTTCTCTGTCTCCTCTCGTAGCTCTGGTCCGTGTGCAGCATGGATCATCTTCTCTGTCTCCTCTCGTCATCGACTCGTTATCCGTGTCGAAGCGCATCGTGGATCTACTTTTCAAGTCCTTCTTCCCAGTGGACGAGTCGGATAAGGAGTGGTGCAGCCGCTGCATCACGCTCATCCAGATGAACCCCGCCGCCGCCAGGAAGTTCTACACACACACACACAAACACACCGCGCCCACCAACATCAGTAAGTGTGTGTGTGTGTGTGTGTGTGTGTGTGTGTGTGTGTAGCATCAAAGTGTGTACCTACAGTACCTGGGGTACAGTGAATGTCTACATGCAGAAGC